TAAAAGTTTTAATTTATGATTCATTGACAATGAGAATAATGTAACTTTTGAAGTTATTTGTTGCTGTGGAGAGAGTGCATATATAAGTTTATATCCTAATATTTGTGTTTTAATGTAAAAGTCACATTTGATGTCCATTTAATCACTTTGAGAAATTTTGTTGGACATGAAGTGTATCATATGCAAGTTTTGTACATACAGAGGATTTATTTTTTATAAAAGTAATAATTAAGCAAAGATATGTAAATAGGAATTGTAATTATTGATCTTTAAGCACGCTGACTATTTAAAATGGCCCCAGAAACTGTGCAGTTTGAGGGCCAGGTGACCCACAGTGTATCAAGTTGATAACGATGTATGAAATTATTTGAATGCAACAAGTAATTGTACAGATTTTTTTCTATCATCACAATATTCTGAGAGAAAATAAACTTTGAAATACTGTTCTGAGAAAGTGAGTGATGTGTTTGTTCAGAAAGACTATGCTCCGGGTGAGGTGAGCAGGAGGTTTGTGGATGCCTTGCAGGAATATCAGTCACTAGCAAAAGCCAACAGGCGTCGCTGTTATTGCAGCAGTGAGTCTCTGTCCTTGCAGCCCACCGGGGAAGGTCAGTTTAGTTTTTTTTTTTTTTGTGAATACGATTTTGCTGGTGAGGTGCCAGAACAGACGCCAAGGTTTTCCAGCAAATCACTCTGCCGCCTCACGCATATCAAGAGCGGAAACCTTCATAGTTATTCTGTCTCATTTCATGGACTTTAACTGCATTTTACCGCCTCAGCTCTGCATGGTAACACAAGAATCAGAGATATGCTCAGATTCCATTACATAAATCATTACCACCTGAAATGTGCACATAGAAGAGACATAATGAGACTGACTATGCGTAAAGGCGCATTTACTGTTTGTCTCCAAAGGAGAAAAAAAGGCTTACACGCATGAGAGGAAGTCTAACTACGGATAAGATAAGTTTGATAGGCATCCACACACAGGTGCTTTTTGTCAAAGAACATCAAGTCCTTGTGAACAAATCCTCTTGCTATCCTGTCAGGATGTTTTTTGTCTACCTGCCAAATGCGCACGCTGCGCCCCTTACGTAATCCCTCCATTATCATTCATGGGTTCAGGACATTTTTTCATAACAGCAACGCAGTTCCGGACTCGGATGTAGAAGATGTAAGGGAATAAGGTCTAAGTCTGTCCAACAGGCTGCCGTGTTTTGCACACTGTCGATGCAAACATACTGTCTCAGAGTTGGAGAAAACGTGCGACATTCCGCCACAGTCACCTTTGACCTGCAACCGTCTGTGGACGCATTGAGAGACAGAGGAGAGGAAGGGAGAGAAGGGGTGTGCGCAAAGGTGATTTGAGGAGACAACCTCACCCCTCCTTCCCCACCTTCTTAATTGCTGAATAGATCTTAGTCTCCCCCACCGAGGTTGTCATAAAGCTTAATGATATGAAATTCTGAGGATCATAGCAGGAATCAAACTCATGTATGTTACATGAGCAGCCTTCAAAGGGAAAAAATGATTAAGGCTTTTTCTGAAAGAAAGCATAACTTTTAAATTAGTGGCTGCTCACAATGTGGCGATCACCAACTGGAGGTCATGTTTTACTTTTACATTTAAAATCACAAAACTCGGAAAGGTTGTGCGCATGCAGTGTCAGCGCTACAGCACAAAACACGACTTGTCTGAATGAGCAGGAGTGTCCATCCTCCTCCTGAGAGAGAGAGAGAGAGAGTTAGTGGACTGGGGTTTCCTCAGGTGTTGGGCTCCAGTCATGGCCGGGAACTCAGAGAAAGTACCGATCGCCTCCGCGGGACCAGAGGACCTGCATCAGTTCATGCCTCCGGTGAGTTTCCATACAGGCCAGTACAGCTCAGGGTTTTCGGGGATCAGGAGGTTTATAATATAGGAGACTGTAGGTACATCTGTAGGGGCCATTGGGAGTCCAACGTGTTCAGTTATTAACCTTACATATTCTGGATAGATGCCCATAAACCTTCTCTGTGACTTATCTTTTGAAGGACTCAGCTTCGCTTGTTGTAAACATAGTTATTTTGTTATCTACCAGGGTGATGTTGTGTATTCGTACATGTTGTGATGTTTTTGGTTTGTTTGTTTTCACCGTAGGCCTACTCTGCCGTGGCCGTGAAGCCCGCCGCCACCGGCCGCCTCCTGAAGGCCGGGATCGCGGTGCTCATCGCAGGGGCCCTTCTACTGCTACTGGGGGCAGTCGGAGCTTTCTACTTTTGGAACAACAATGAAAAACACGTGAGATGAATATTTGACTAATTCTCATACTTGCATTGCAAAACATTTGTTTTTGTAAGGGACTGCAGGGAAATGATAAGGTTGTGGTGGTGGGGGTAAGGAAGGGGGATAGCACTGCCATTTTACTTCTTTATGAATGTCCTTAGAGAGCTGAAGTTCTGTCTGTGTTTCAGGTTTTATTGATGTGCTCATTGGGGGCACACATTAGAAGTTCCATTAGGATATTAAGGTTTACATGTAAGGGTACACAATACAGAAGTTGTACCAGTTTAAGACTGTTTGATATATATATATATATATATATATATATATATATATATGTATAGTTATATAGTTATAAGAGTAGTATATTCTCTATATATATATATATATCATTTTGACATGTTGTTGGGGAAATGTTGCGGTCTTCAGTCAAGAAAACATGAATAATCCTGTGGGTTTTCTCTTTTACCAACACAAACATAAAATTCAGCTGCCCTCACCATCCCATTCATTTCTGTACATTCCCTTATAGGATACTTTCAATCAAACCTTAAATCAAATGCAGTCTGATATGCTAGATAGTTCATTTTGTTCCACTGTAGTTTCACTCTACTTTCAAAACTTTCTGAAAATAAGTGGCGCTACCATCAAAGAAAACAGCTCTCGTACTCACAATCTATAAAAATAATGTCACTTGATTGAAGACATTCGTGAAACAAGCTGTTGTAAATTGGAAACAAGTGAAATATAGTGATCAGTGGAACAATTTTTACTTGTTTGAATTAAAAGGAGACTCACTGTTAAAGTGAAGTCGTTTTTCCGAGATGGACCTTTTTTCTTGCAGCGTAGGCAAACAGTAAAATGTAAATTAAACACTCCAGTTTCATGGTGCAGTCTGCTTGGTGAATGGAGGCGTTGTGTGTGTATGCGGTGTGTGTATGCGGTGTGTGCTGGAGGACCCTGGCAGGGTGGAGAGGGGGGGGGGCTCTTTGGTCCGGCTGATGCTCCAGGGGCAAGAGGTGGAAGAGATGAGGGGGAAAATGTAGCTTTCTGAGTGTTTTTTTCCCATTATGGAGCTGGAAAATGCTATTAAGACACGATGAAAAGGCTCTGTAGAAGGGTCATCATCACCCAGAGCTGTACAGATTGTGTTCTTCTGACCAAGTCTGAATGAATGTGTCGTCTGAAAGAAAAAGTCCAAAAAAGAGAGGCTGTATGTGTGAGCCAAAGTCATAGGGTAAGATTGGAGAAACAGGGTGAGAAGGAGTGTTGAAAGAGAGAGGACTGGGGGTGGGGTGACTCTCAGGGCTCTCATACCTTACATGCCAGTCTGAAAACCTTGTGTGTGTGTGTGTAGGTCTACAATGTCCACTACAGCATGAGCATCAATGGAAAAGTGGAGGAGGGGACGATGGAGATCGACACAGCCAGTAACATGGAGAGATTCAGCACCGGCAGCGGGGCGGACGAGGCTGTGGAGGTCCATGACTTTGAGATTGTGAGTTGGGTCTAAAATAATCCAAAATATCAGGAGATTCAGATAAAAAGCAGAAAACCAGATTCATCAGCACACTGATCAACACTCTCCGAGCATCAGAGAAGAAGTCGATCAGATTTGTTGAAACTTTAAAGACCCTTGTGGGCAGATTGGCTCTTGTAGCAGCGGCGAAATTAAGAGCAAGTAGACATGTTATCTCCCTTTGGGCCAATCAGTGTCAAGATGCTTCGTCTCTCCAATTTTCATTAAATTCGGACTGGTGGTTTTTGACCTTTAATTAAAGCATCCCAATCAGGCCAATCAGAGTAGTGAAGCAGCAGTTTTGGCCTTTTAACTATTAAAATTTTGACCTTTAATCATACTGTCCCTGTGAGGGTAATTTTTTAATCTTGAACATGGTGCCAAGCTGCAGCGTTTACATTTGATGCACAGATCTATAGTCGCAGACACCTGCAGAGTGCAACAACAACTGGAGAAGTAGTGAACTCTAACTTTTGTTTGTCCCCTTTCCTTCCTGACTTCTCCAGGGGATCACTGGGATCCGGTTTTCAGGAGGAGAGAAGTGCTACATCAAGACCCAAGTGAAGGCTCGTCTGCCTGATGTGGATGCTCTCAACAAGGACTCGATGACATTCGACCTGGTGGGTTGCTCTTGTCAGTCTTACGTGTCCTGAGAAGGTGTGTTTGTCCGTGCTGCAATGTGCTTTTCAGGAAATCCCTCAATAGTCCCTTTCCACTGCAGGAATTGATCAAACTGTAACCTGGGGCTGGCCATTATTTGAACATTTAAAGTAATAATTTGATATTTTGGGAAATTTGCTTTCTTGCTGAGAGTCACATCACAAGATTGATACCTCTCTAATATGAAGGTACTGTCAGCAGCTAGATAGCTTAGCTTAGCATAAAGACTGGAAATGGGGGGGAAAACCACTAGCTTCACTCTGTCCAAAGGTACAGGTTTTTTATTTTGGTCCTCCACTTTGGTCTCAACAATTAACAAATTATATTCAGACGGTCATGCTCCCCAGAGGATGAATCATATTGATGTTGGTAATCACCTGACTTTTTCTCGCCACCAGAATCTCAAAATAATCTTATCCAATGAAACATCTCAACATCTACAAGATGGAATGGCACAAAACCTGGGACATGCATTAATGTTAACCACAGGATGAATTTAATAACTTGAGGGCATTATCATAAATCAAAACTTTAATTAGACTAAAGTATTTTAGTAAAAGGTCCAGTGTGTAACATTTAGGGGGTCTGAGCACAGAAATGAAATATAATATTCACAGGTATATTTTCATTAGTGTATAATCACCTGAATATAGCAATAGTTTGTGTTTTTGTTACCTTAGAATGAGCCGCCATGTTGAACCAACATGTTTCTACGGTAGTCCAGAAGGGACAAATCAAACATTGGCTGCAGATAGGGCTTTATCGTGAGAAAAGCTGCAGAGAATCTGTACTATGTTACAACCTATAACATTTACAACTGCAGATTGTTGTAACTGGAGAAACCTTTATTAATGACTTACTAACATTTGCAGAACTTACATTATAGAACTCATCACACTATGTTAACAACGTCCTCGCTTCCCTAATAAACCATCACATCTGAAGATACAAATGTTAGTAAGTCATTAATATAGGGCTCGTTCTAATAACAAGACAGCTAAAAAGACACATTGTTATTACTGATTTATAAGGCAATAATACTTTAACAAGGCCATTCATAAAGCCAGTGGTTACAACTTATAAACCCATTGTAAAGTATTCCTTACAGAGTTCTCACTCCTGATATAAAGCTATTAGCATGAATCACCCAAGCCAATGATCCACCAGGAACACATGGGTGATTTTTATGTGTGGGTTCCCATCACTTAACAGCTGAGTGGACTCTGTTAAGATCAATAAACACAAGAGAGGGCTACACTGAAATATACTATATGTGTGTGCGTGTTGATTTCTATCACAACACACCAACTTCACTGCCTGTGATTGTTCAATTGAGGCTGTCTGATAATTAAAATCATTTAGCTCTGCATAAGCCTCACATCCACATAAATCCACATCACCAGGATTGTGCTCACAGACGTGGATGCACATAAACACACACATGCACACACACGAGCACACAATTAATTATCCTGCAGGGCTGCTCTTATTGCCTCTCTCTGCCTCATAAAAGATCATTTATATCACGAATGTGCTTTTGTGTGTGTTTGTGTTATTGCCTCTATTTGCCTCATAAATGATCGTTTGGTTCGTGTTTGTGCATCGTGTGTGTGTGAGTGTGTGTGTGTGTGTGGGGGGGGGGGGGGGGG